ATGTAGGAACTAGGGTTTAGGGTTTAGGGTCTCAATAGTTACCAATACTATTTTGGGGCTTCATTGTTATAATTATAGTATAGTGGGCCCCAAAACCCTATTCTAACTATTCAGGCCCTATATTATTTGTGTCCGCACCAAACAGCTAGACATTTTGGGGTGTGCAACTTGCGCAGGCAGACAACTGCTCGATAAGGAGGTATGTGAAGACCCAGTAGACGGTCCGCATGCGCGGAGATATGGAAGGCTATGTCGTCAGGAATCTGGGTGTACTTGGAAGAATCATGAAGAGCCCATGAGTGAGGGTCCTCAGTGCCTTAGTTGCAGCTTTCATTGCGTCCCTTTGCTTAGAGGAAAGATCAACCGTTAGGCAGATAAGGTAGCACCAAAGCCCAATGCTACTTAGAGGGTCGGGAGCTTGATAAGAGGCTTATAAGTAGGATAACCGCAGCTAGGACATGGACAAACCTACAACCCAATGCTTGTGAATCCTATGGTTGATGGACAAAATTCTGCATGACCCAAATATAGTATAGTACCATAAATCCCATAGTTTAGGTATATAAGGTCATGCAGGAGTTTGTCCATCAACAGTANNCCCCCCCCCCCCGCATAGCAAGATCAAAGGATACCCTATAAAATCCCTACAGTATGTCGAAACTCGATAAAACCCTTACAAGGCCACATAGCCACCATGAACCTCTACGTAGCCCTCTAAGAGTCTTTTCAGGTTCCTGGCATGTGGAGACCTCGTCATCGCTCGCATCAAAGTCCTTCAAGGTCCACAGCCCGGAGGGTTTAGTTAAAGGTTCATGGGACTTAGTATCTAGGGCTATAAATAAGGTAAGTATCCTTATAACTACTCATAACCCCAAGTAAGGTACTTATAACTGTCCTTATTAAGTCCCATGAACCTCCAAGCACAGCCCGGAGGGTTTAGGGTTTGGAGTTTTAAGTTCTTGTGAAATACTTGGAGGGTCGGGGGACTTAGTTAGTAAATAATAGGCAGACTTACATTATGTACCCTGAAGGGGAACCCCCCTTGGGGTTATGTCCTGACAATAGCTACTTACTAAGTCCCACGACCCTCCAAGTAGGGCTCGTTGTAAGCAGGATCCTTGTGCTTAAGCTGCAACTTGTCCTTTCTAAGTTACAGAAGTTCCTGAAACCCACGCCTAGCCCGAAAACAGTCCACCTCAAGAGAATCCTGCAAATTCCGCATCTTCGCCCGTACCATGGCAGTATCCCCGTTGGGGCTTCATGTTCGAATCTGTTAGGGAAGTTTGGGTACTTCGTCATCCCGATGAAGATGGGTGTCATCATGACGGGTGTATGCATGAGGAGTTTCATCTCCCATGCTGGTCCAGGTTTGCTTTTGCAGCCTTCAAGCAAGGTTTCCTAGGTGATTGCTCAGAACCGCGGTTTAGTTGGCGGGGATCCTGGGTAGATAAGATAGAGTCTTGAAGAATCAGTAACGCTATTCTCTTGGCCTTCTGTATATACCGAGATTAGAATATATACCCGCAAAACCTATTCTGAATGTTAGAACCCCCATTACATTGACAAAGCCTTAAACCGTGAACCCCTACTCCCTACTCCCTAAACCGCTAAGCCTTTACTATGGTAGCTGAGCAACGAATCCAGAGTTACTGGTTCCCCAGTAGCGCCCTTCTGCCCTTTCTTGTTGTTGAGTTAATCGCTTCGGACCTGTTCGACGAGAGTGTCGCCATCTACGAGCCTGTCGAGGAGCCGACTTCACCTGCTGCTCTGGTTCGGATGCTGAGCAGAGGCTTTTGCAGCAGATGCGGGAAGACGATGCCGTGCGGTCTGATCGGGCGGCGCTGGAGCCGAGTCAGCTGGAACTGGCCGAAGAGGTGGCCGCTGAGAAGGCCAGGGCACAGGCAAGGGCCGAGAGGGCAGCCAAGCGGGCCCGGCTTGCGGAGGAGGAGATGAACCAGCCGCGGCGCGCTACTCGAGAGGCCCGTGCCCGAGAACCCTGAGGACCGACCTGCAATAATATCCCTCTTGTTTTTTTTTTGTTTTTATTTTTGGGGGGAGCTTCTGTAACAATACCGGAAGGCTCTACACATCCCTGAGAGCAACCCACTTACATCCCTGAAGGGGCCATTAAAGGAACCTTCCCCGTGAATTCTAATGCACCCCGAAGCTTCCCTAAGCCTAAGACCGACTTACAAGTACCCCTAAAAGGGATCCTAATTGGGGTTGTGATGCCCAGACATTCCAAGCGACTCCCCTTTTGTAAGGCCTTGCCTGTTGTTGGCCGGTTTCGGGTTGAAGAGACTGAAGAATTTGGATTGAAACTGTTTTATCGCAAGGGCTCGGAATAACCATTAGCGCTGCGCACCTACAGCCCCTAGAATGTTTGACTATAGCATACCCAAGACTATGGCTACCAGATCAAGGAAGGCAGGAGAAAGGTGTTGATTCTGCTTGGAGGTTCACGGGACTTAATAAGTCCTGTTATAAGTACCTTACTTGGGGTTAGAAGTACTTCCCCTTTTATAACCCTAGTGACTGGGTTCCAAGACCCTAAACCCTAAACCCTAAAGTAGGCCCTAAACCATACTGTCTGGCAGATCTAGAGCTGTTGAACACGCCGTGACCCTGAAAACCACCCACTTATCCTGAAAGGCTGACACATGTTCTTGTAAGCCCTAATTGGACCCAGAAAGCCCTAAACCCTTGAATCCATAAAACCCTAAACCCAAACCTTGAACCCTCAAAGCCCCTAAACCCTAAAAGCCCTAAAAACCCTTGAAACACACTGTTGAAGCTCCCTCTGCAGGCACGTCATCTCATCCTGGCCGCGGGGCCGGCCACCCGCCGCATGATGCGTACCTGGGCTTGCTTACCCAGACCCCCGGGAAGATCTAGAAAGTAGAATTTGGGGCTTAGGGTTTAGGGTCCCAGACCCCCGGGAGGATCCAAAAAGTGGATCCCTTAATGGGGGTTCCTACAAAGTACCCCTTGGGTAGTATAGGGTCCCAAATTAGGGGATCTACTTTTTAGATCCTGCCGGGGGTCTGGGGTTCAGGGGTTGTGGGATGTAGGGGTTCAAAAAGGCCGTACCGAGAAAGTGCCCCCTCAGTAGTATGTACGTAGGACCTTGTTACCGCATGTACATGTATGGTTGTGAGCGCCGGAGGCCAGTGACAAAGCGGCGGCGCGGTTCGATGTTTTCAAAATCGGCGACCGGTTTAGGGGAGAGCGTCCGGTCAAGGGGCGGCCCGCAGTGGCACCTTCCCCGTCTGGCTGTGGTCGACTACCTCGGCTCTGCGTCAGGGCCGGCCAGACCTTGTGGGAGGCGGCCAAGATGCGTTGGAATTAGTCGTCCTGCAATTCGCGTGCTATGCAGGTACCAGATTGCACAAAGTTGCCTGCCGACATTGGCAAGGGGGGCTGGTACCGGCACATGACTTCAAAGATGAGCCTCAACAGGAGTGACCTGAACGATTGCCTGAATTACCTACAACGGGACGCCGGGTTGCACTGCAGACGATCCGGGGCATGGAACAATATCCTCCACGAGAAACTCCATGCTTGCCTTCTCAAAGAAAACAGTGGCATTTTAGGGGCCTGAATAATTACCAAGACCATTTTGGGGGTTCCTTATTATTGTTATCCTCATAGCGTAACATACCCCCAAACCCTATTCTGATTATTAAGGCCCCTAAACCCTGAACCCTTATAGTAGCCCTTTATAGAGCCCTTTAAGGAAACCTTGAAAGGCGCCCCCAAAACCTTTTTCTAATTATGAAAGCCCCTAGATCACAAAGAAGAAGAAAATTGACAAGGCCGCCGGTGCTTTGGGGGAAAGCGTTTCGGCCGTCTATCTCCCGGAGTCTCCTTGCTTAGAGGTTCTCATGGGTAGCTATAAGTAGGCTTATAAGTAGGGTAACTATAGTCATAACTCCTATATTAGGGGGCTTATAACGCCACTTATAGCTACCCATCAACCCGAAAGTGGTCTCCTGGTCATCTCCCGTCGGTCTCCTGGCAGTCTCCTCGCGGTCTTCTGCTTGTCGTGATCCTTTCTCTTGGCGGACCTGGATACTCCAGAACCCCGGAAGGATCTAGAAAGTAGAACCCCTAATTTGGGACCCTATACTACTAAAGGGCTCTTTATAGGAACCCNNAACCCCCATTAAGGGATCTACTTTTCTCTTGACGGACCTGGATACTCGGATCCCGACTGTACTTCTTCTTCCGGCCATGGCTTGAAAGCCAGTAATGCGAGGATCCCCAGCATAATTCTGGTGGTTTAAAGCCGGAGACTCCAAACTATAGACGACTAGTCGGGTGCAGGCCTGGGACATACAGCCCACGTCCAGGCTCCTCAGGCCGTATACCCTGGAGCCTTCGGGGGGCATCCTCTGCTTTTCCATCGAATGAGTTTTGAGGTATTTGGGATGCTGCTGCCTTCTGGTCCCCAAACCTTGGTTTAGGTTTAGGCGGCTTGGATACAAGTAACACTACCACAGCCGAGCGGTTGCTTTTCAGAGGCTGGAGACGTCAGCAACTCGAAACCAGCATTCTGAGCTTATCATACCTGTCCATCCTCGTAGATTCAAGCGAACTGGGCACTGTGAGCCCCCCCCCCCCCCCCCCNNCACATCTTCACCCAGAGAGCCCAATACCCCTTAATTAAGGAATATACCTTAAATCATAATATTAAGGCTCCTATAACTTAAGGTATATTCCTTATGAAAGAGGTATTGAGCTCTCTGGGCATGTAGAATCTTGGAAGAGCCCCTCTAGAACCCTTCCCCAGACCCCCGGAAGGATCCAAAAAGTAGATCCCTTAATGGGGGTTCATATAAAGAGCCTTTAGTAGTATAGGGTCCCAAATAAGGGGACCTACTTTCTAGATCCTTCCTGGGGTCTGGCTCTTCATATAGAATCTTGGAAAGCCTCTCTAGAACCCTTCATGGCAACCTTTAAGGACATTTCAGGAACCTTAGGATCCTCGACGAGCCTTTCACCCCTCCTGTCTCCGGCTGGAGGTAAGCATCTCCGACTGAACATTGAAACTGAGACAGCCTCTCGTCTTTCAGGGTCTGGAATCCCAGACACCCGGACGGATCCAGAAAGTAGAACCCCTAATTTGGGACGCTATATTACGAAAGGGTACTTTATAGGGACCCCCTTAAAGGATCCTACTTTTTGAATAGGGTGTTGGGGCCCTTTATACTATAAAGAGCCTTTAGTAATATAGGGTTCCGAATAAGGGGATCTACTTTCTAGATCCTTCCGGTGGGTGGGCTGGGAATGTAGAGGCCTTGATCCTTATATTTTGTTGGGGGCTCCTTTAAAGGGGTCTATAAGGGGGGCTACTATAAGGCTTTAGGGTTTAGGGGCCTCAATAGTTAGAATAGGGTGTTGGTACCCTGTATACTATAAAGAGCCCTTAGTAGCATAGGGTCCCAAATTAGGGGATCTACTTTCTAGATCCTCCCGGGTGTCTGGGAAACCCTAAACCTTGAAGAGTTTGTATTCGGAACGTCTTTAAGTTGGGCTGGGTCTAAACCCGAAGCCCGCAGCCCCAAACCATAAGCCCTGAATTAGAAGGTGAGTGCCGAATGCAAAAGGACCTAAAGCCCCTAAACCCTAAACCATTCTAAACTCTTAAACCCTAAACCCTGAACATTTCAAAGGACCTCAAGCCCCTAAACCCTAAACCATCCTAAACTCTTAAACCCTAAGCCCTGAACATGTCAAAGAACCTAAAGCCCCTAAACCATCCTAAACCCCTAAACCCTAAACCCTGAACATTTCAAAAAAGATCTGAAGCCCCTAAACCATCCTGAACCCCTAAACCCTGAACATTTCAAAAAGGATCTGAAGCCCCTAAACCATCCTAAACCCCTAAGCCCTAAACCCTGAACATTTCAAAAAGGATCTGAAGCCCCTAAACCATCCTAAACCCCTAAACCTTAAACCCTGAACATTTCAAGAAGTGTTTGCTGTACTAACCCACTCTTGCGAACTAAGACAGAGTTCCTGAACAACAGCTCAGCAAAATCACCTCAGAACATCCATCTAAAGCTCTAGACACCGAGCCAAAGCAGATGCCATACACAATGCCTGCTAGGAACCTTCGTAGAACCATACCCCAAACACCAAACCCTACGTAAGCACTAAACACCAAACACGAAACCCTAAATCCGTACAGGACCAACACTAAACAATAAACCCTTAAGGAGCCCTTCCTCCTCCTAAACCTTAGGCCCTGAACCCTGCACCCTCACAGAACCCTTCTCCTCCTGAACCCTATACTTAAAGGTTCACGGGACTTAGTAACTAGGGTTATAAATAAGGCAACTATACTTATAAGTACTTATAGCCCCAATTAAGGTACTTATAACAGTACTTACTAAGTCCCATGAACCTCCAAGTACCCTGAGCCATAAACCGTGAACCCCATATTATAATTGTGGTATACTAAACCTCAAACCCTGTTCTAAATTACTAAGGCCCCCTATACCCTAAACCCTAAACCCTAAACCCTAAACCCTACTCCTTTCGGGGGTCTGGATACCCTAAGCCATCAACCCTAAACCCTAAACCCTAAACCCTAGAACCCTAAACCCTAAACCCTAAACCCTAAAACCCTAAGCCATAAACCGTGCAGCCCTTTCAGGTCATCGGCGTGCAGACCCAGTCCGCCCAGCTCACCGAGCCCTGGCTTCAGGCGCTTCGTTTCTGAACGGCTTTGGGGCTTTGGGGGTTTAGGGTTTAGGGTTTAGGGTTTAGGCTTTGGAGGCCCAGGGGACTTGGTAAGTCGGTTATAACTGGCTGTATAATTGGGATAACTCCATTTAGGGTACGTATAACTCTACTTATAACCTGCCTACTAAGTCCCTTGGGCCTCCAAGTAGGGGTTAGGGTTTTGGGGTTTTGGGTTTTGGGTTTTTGGGTTTAGGGGTTTGGGTTTTGGGTTTAGGGGTTTAGGGTTTTTGGGTTTAAGGGGTTAGGGTTTTGGGTTAGGGGCTTTGGGTTTAAGATGTAGGGTTAGGGATGCAGAGGTGTGGGTTTGGGGGTTGTGGGTCTAGGGCCCCAGGCCATCAACCCTACGGTACTTTAGGGATTAGGGTTTAGGGTTTAGGGTTTAGGGTTTAGGGTTGTGCTCTTTGGGGTTCTGGATGGTTCGAATTCTCTGCTTGCTTCGAGTTCTGCTTCTTGAACTGGGCCTACCGTTTTTGCGTTGCCGAACTGGAGGGAGGGTCTCCCATAGAAGCTCAGCGGTTTTTTGACACGTCTTTTTTGGGTTTAGGGCCTAATCCCTAAACCCTAAAGCCTAGGCTGCCATAGTAGTCCTCAGGCGCGGTGCAAGACCTACCTTCAAAGCCTAGAGTAAGATAGAAAGCGGTAAGGACTCATAGTTTAAGGCTTTTGGGCCCAAGGAACATCGTCTTTAACACTTTCAGGCTCATTATGAGCCTTAGGGTAAAGCTCAAGTATTACCACTATTTTTCCTTAGGGCCCCGTATTAAGAGAATAGCATGAAGGAGCCCAAAACCCTGTTCTAATTATTGAGGCCCCTACATTACCGACGAGTGTGAAGCAGATTGACGACATGACCCTGAAGAATTTAAATTCAGAAAAGAAACAAAAAGATTACTGAGATCATCTGCCCCCTCTGTTACCCCTCCTCGTCCTCCTTCTCCGGGATTTTTCTTGTGCTGGTGCTGCTGCAGTATGCTGTGATTGATTCTAGAACTGTGTGTTCCTCTCGCTTTTGGTCCACGTCTATTCAAGCCCAGACCGCCGCGAGTATCCAAAAAGTAGATCCCATAAAGAGCCCTTAGTAGTATAGGGTCCCAAATTAGGGGTT